TACGAGAACTTAACTAAAGAATTTAATACTAAATATTTGAGGGAGGCAAAAATAAAATTCTCCAATAAAGACTTATAGATAAAATTGCAAAGAAATTCAACATGGAACATAAATTAAATAAGGCTCCTATGGAAGTTGGATATCAAGTCAACAAGAACAACAATATAATAAACGTTCCATACAGGGAATTAATTGAATGTTTGAATTATTTGACAACAATATTTAGACAAGATATATCATTTGCAACATCCTTTTTAAGAAGATTTTTGGATAGACTAACCATGAGTACATGGAAGGTAGCAAAGAGAACGTTAAAATATGTCAAAAATACGAAGAGTCTCTGTTTAACATATAGAAGACATGATTTGAACAGAAAAATCGAAGCATACTCTGATTCTGATTGGGGAAAGGATTCAACTGATCGTAAGTGGTATGGCAATATACTACCATGGAAATTTGGTATCATGGTCAAAGAAATAACAAAGCTTGCATTATCAACAGCCGAATCTGAATACGTAGCAGCTGGAATATGTTGTACGGAAATTCTGTATATAAGTGGGCTGGCTAAAGACTTCGGAAACAAAGATGGTATTGTATGGACAATCAAAGTGACCATGATTAAGAATCATGAAAATACAAGAAGATCAAATCACATCGATATTAAATGGCATTTTATTAAGGACGTTAAAACAAGTTCAAGTACACAAATAAACAAGTTCAAGTATTTTGACAAAATCACTTTGTACAGATAAATTTAACAATTTTCGTATTATATTAAATCTTTGTTAACAAAAAAAAAAGATATTGTAATTTGAGAGAGGGTGTTGAATGTAGTAGTTTTTATGTTGGTAACTCTGTGTAGGTGTGACGTCAAGTTATATAAGTAAACTACTGTTGTAAATTGTTTAACTGATGTTATTTTTATTAAAAACACAAAACAGTCGACGTTCGTTAAGAGGAACGTGCATCAACAGCTTTGTAAAATTTAAAAGAAACACATTGTTTGCGTCCCTATCTGCGTAACTTGCTATTTGCAGCGCGTTTTTGTTGCGTTTAACTCGCGTCAACGGCGCGCGAAAAAACCGTCGTGTGCAGAGGCCGTAACATTTTTTTAAATAGAACCCCTCTTTGTATGGATGATTTGTTGGCACAATATACATACATTTGAATATTTTATGAAGATTTTAACGATTGTAGCTTTTTAATTCATAACTCGGATCTTGCTGGATATTGAAGTACATTTTTTTTCTCGAATCTTGTTATATTGTATTTTAGAGTCCATAACTTGTTACGATTTTTATAATCGCACTCTACTCATATAGCTCATATAACAAGTTGATTTTGGAAAAACAAGATGACTTGGAGCAGTATACTCCGCGAAACAGTGTACGTGTTTTCGGGGTACACGAAGCTAAACAGCAAGATGTTGCATCTGAAATAATATCGATGTTTAGTGATAAACTTGGGGTTGCTGTTACCGCTGATCATATTGATCGTTGTCATCGAGTGGGATCGTTTAACAACAAAAACAAAAATCCGCCAGCAATAATCGTCAAGTTTGTGAGTTACAAATCTCGGGGCTTAGTGTGTAAAGCAAAAAAAAATCTTAAAGGTACAAAAATTGTTGTACAAGAGGATTTAACTCAAGTAAAATATGCCTTACTCAAGCCAGCGGGTAAAATCGTGGGGAGAAGGAAGGCTTGGAGCAGAGACGGTAGGTCAATTCTCCAAATAAAAAGTGCCGCTGATTTGGATAAAATAAGCAATACAAATAAATCAACTAGGTTAAATTTAGAGTAAGAGACGTTCTATTATTATATGCCTGGGTTGTGCGTATAAACCCCCTTCTGAGCATTATAAAAATTTCTTGAATGAATTGGAAAATTGTCAGGCATGTTGATGTCGACAGACAGAATATTGTGCTGTGGAGATTTTAATATTGATCTGCTAAATTCTCAGAGTAAAGATACAGATTATATTTTGTCTTTTTTTGACTCTTTGGGTGGCTTTCAGCTGATTAATGTTCCTACCAGAGTCACAATGAATACGCCCACACTTTGAAATCTTATTTTTACGTTTGCCTTGTGGTTTTTCTGATCACGATGTAGTGTACTGTGACTGTAAGCTGAGCAACCCAATGACAGAGCCTGCATATAAACTGGTCAGATCACTAATGTATATTGATCAATTATCGTTCAAATCTGACTTAAGTAATATAGCCTTCAAAAACATATTTTGTATGCAGGATATAAATGACAAAGTTTGCTTTTTTACTCAACAAATAATTAATATTTTTGACGTTTATGCAAGTTTACAAAGCTTAGTAGTCCTTGGCTAACGGATAATATTAACTTTATGATGCGCCTAAGAGATAGAGCAAAGTCAAAATTCAGAAGGACAGGCAATGCCTCACATTGGAACTATTACAAGGACTTGCGAAACTTTACTACTAAATAGCGTTAGTAAAATGAAAAGAGAGCTTATTTCAAATACATTTCTTGGTTTGAAACATTTGCAAATTAATTCTATGACTCATAATAACGGTCAATTACCCATACAGTTGCAGAATCCTGATGGCATAAATCGTTTTTTTGTTCATAGCGGTCAAGATATCCTTGACAATATTACGTTGAGCAAGACTGATGATTGCTATAAAGAGTTTGCAGCTTTCACTTCCAATGTATTCTCAATTCGTACGGTTACCACGTCTGAGGTTATGGAAGTTGTTTCAGTGATAAGCTCTTCTTCAATAGGATTCTTGTTAGAACAAGTTTAAACAAGATTAAATTCTTGTTTAGTTGAAAATATTTTTCCTGATCAATGGAAACGGGCTATTGTGCTTCCGTTACCAAAGAAAAAGAATCCAATTGATGATGGGGACTTGCGTCCGATCAGTATTTTGTCAACTATGTCTAAAATCTTGGAAAAAGTAATGAAAAATCAATGAATTCCTTATTATTGAACAGAACAACTTATTACCAGTTCAGCAATCTGGTTTTCGTGCTGATCATAGTTGCACTACAGCTATGCTAAGACTCACTGATGATGTTTTAGGCATTTGACACCATTGGTCATATATTGCACTGTCGTATAATGGAGTTGTTGGGACTGGGTCGTGGTGCTGTGGCACTAATACAAAACTACTTAACAGGTAGAACACAAAAGGTAAGAGTTGGTGATCGGGAATCGGAAGAAGTTATTGTTGGTTCAGGTGTTGCCCAGGGTTCCGTCCTGGGACCGCTTCTCTTATCACTCTATACTTCTAGTTTCGCTGCCAACTTGTCCTCTTCTAATATTAATATGTATGTTGATGATATTCAAATATACCAATCATTTCGTCGTGGCGAGAGTCATGATGTGGAGACAAATTTAAATAGAGATTTACAAATTATCCATAAGATTGCTAATTTCCATCAATTGAAGATTAACCCTGTGAAAAAATATGTGGATATGCTTTGGGAGTTCTGTAGAGAGTGTTTAGGTTAATATTGATCTAAAATTGGGAAATATACCTTTGCAGCGTGTGGATAATGTGAAGTGCGTGGGTCTAACACTTGATAATAGCTTCAGATATCGTGGGAAGATTAATGATTATATAAAGAGAGCTTATTTCTATCTTAGGCAATTATATTCTCATAGAGCTTATTTGTCATATAATATCAAAAAACAATTATATGATACTTACGTCTTGTCACAATTTAATTATATGGCACCGATTTGCGACCGAGTATCGCACAGGCTAAAGGGCGTGAACTGGTTAAAAATGAATTCTAGACGTGAACTGCTTACTTTGTTATTGTTTCACAAAATAATCACGACACGGATCCCACGATACCTCTATGACAAAATTACATTTACGTCAAATGACGGAAGATATCCAACCAAGTTTTGTCTTACAATCATACCACCTAAATATAGAACATCATTGTTTCAGCGGTTTAATAATTTTAATCAATCTTTCCCTCGAAGACTACGATATTTTTTTTGTGCTGATTCTGAAACTGTCTTTAGTTTTTCTCCATCACGTCCAGTTTTCGAGATATACCCAAAAATGTGGAAAATCGTAAATTAAAAAACATAGTAACGGTTCATGTTCAGTATATTTTTTATTTTGCATAGTGTCCTTCTGTAGCTATGTAGACATGAAAGTAGAGATCCAGATGAACATTTTGAGGTATTGATGGCATAAATCGGACTCTCCGTTATGTTGCTGCAGCCTAAAACAACTCAAAAAAATCAAATTTTTTGGCATTTTTCCCATTTTTTATCACTTAATCGCACCGTAACGAAAAAGAATTATATATGAACAAAAAAGTTAGCTATTCTATCCTATAGAACATTTAATTTTCCAAATTTCGAAGCATTGGACACCATGGTCGAATGTATTTTACCGGAGATATCGTTAATTTACGACAATCGTGCAAAATTTAATTTTTTGCCATTTTCACTGTGTTTGTTGAGTTAGTAACATTAATATTTTTAAGTTTTGAGTACTGTTGGGTTGGTAGTATTGAAAACGGTGCACATTGCGCACAACACGAAGCGGGTGTCATGGCGAAGACGCGAGTTAACGGTCATGGCATGTAAAGATTTAATCGTTTATACTTGAATATATTAAAATACAGCAGAAACTAAAAAGTGGATTTATTCCCCAAAAACATTGGTCCTTCGAGCATGGATTAGTAACAGTGAAGACATTAAAAATAAAAAAAAAATTCGTGAATTGCATCATCTTGGCTGGGGTCCGGCGATCGGAACTTGGTTCTTCTCTTCGACAACGACACGAGGTCAACTCATCGGCGGCGGTCACTGGTGGGTTCCTGAAAGAAAACACAAAACGTAAACTAAGTCCTTTTTTATTTTTATCCTTTTTCGTGAGTATTGCTTCACAAAATGGAGGAACTCAAACCTCTGTTGGCAAAAAAGAAACTGCTCAAGGCACAATTAACGCGTTTCGGGACGTTTCTCGAAAAAATTACAACGGAAAAATTAAACGAATTGAAAATCAGATTACAAAACATTAAAGAGATTTTGCATGAGTTTAACAAAATACAAAACGCGATCGATTTACTAAACAAAGACGACGAGTATAATGACGAATACGAAATATTTGAAACAAAATATTATGAATTAATAGCAGAGGCGACAACATTTATTCAAGAGCGAGATAATGACACCGTATGTAAAAGCGCTATAAACGATGAAACGACCGGTTCGGCGGGGGCTGCGACGGCTTATGCACCGAGCGACGGTTATTTTCATAAAAATGTTAAACTTCCTACGTTGGATTTGCCTAAATTTTACGGAGATTATGATCAATGGATATATTTTCACGATACTTTTAAATCGCTCGTTGACAATGACAACTATGTAGATGACATCAATAAATTTCATTATTTATTTAGTTGCTTAAAAGGTGAAGCAGCGAATATCATTCAATCTCTTGAAATCACAAAGGAAAATTACAAAATTGCTTGGGATATGTTGCGTCAAAGATACGAAAATAAGGCGGTTATAGTAAAAACACACGTTAAGGCTTTGTTTGAATTACCGATGGTTACAAAAGAAGCTCATCAAAACTTAAGACGTTTAATTGATAGTTATAACAGGCACACTCGTTCTTTAAAGGCCTTAGGTGAACCAGTAGAGCACTGGAGCACGTTGCTTACACATTTGATTTTTAAGAAATTGGATGACGCTTCTAAAATGAAATGGGAGGAGCACGCGGGGCAGACATTTAATAATGATGTACCAAACATAAAAAGTATGATAGATTTTCTTACAAATAGATGCAGTATTCTGGAAACCATAGAAGGTAATAACAAAACGAATAAACATATCGGACAAAAGAAGAATGAGCGTACTATTGCAAATTTAGCCACGAACAACAAAACGTGCGTTTTTTGTGAATCGGGCGATCATTTCATTTACGGTTGTAATAAATTCAAAGCATTAACTACAAGCAAAAAAGTTGAGGAAGTTAAAAAACTCAGGCTTTGCTTAAATTGCCTTCGTTCGGGACATTTCTCGATGGATTGCAAATCTTTGTCCACATGTAAGGCTTGTAAGCAAAAACATAACACGCTTTTGCATTATGATACACAAACAAATACACACACAACTGAAAAACGTGTTACAACCGCACATACCATGAAAGCATTGGAGAATACTTCGATAATTTTAGCAACCGCGCAGGTTCACATCAAAGATGCGACTGGAAAATGGTGTGAGGCTAGGGCACTTTTAGATTCTGGCTCGCAGTCGAATTTTATGACAATGAAGCTTGTAGAAAAACTGCAATTACATACTTACAATTTAAACGTACCGGTAACAGGTATTAGTCAATGCAACCTTAATGTTAAGTATGGAACGAATACCAAGATTAAGTCTATATATAACTCATACACCATTGATTTATCATTTTTGGTTATAAGAGATATAACTGATAACTTGCCAAATGTTCCAATAAACATCAAAGAATTAGAAATACCGCGACACATTAGGTTAGCTGATCCGAAATTCCATCAACCAGGAGAAATAGATATTTTAATAGGCGCTGGCTTATTCGCTGAATTGTTGTCTATGGGTCAAATTAAACTCGGAATTGGTTTACCTGTTCTACAGAAATCAACACTGGGATGGATCGTATCCGGGCCTATGAGTACAAATTTAAGACAAAAGGTGCGCAGCAACGTATGTATAAATAACAGCGAGATTCAAAGGGCCTTGGAAAAATTTTGGAAGGTTGAAGAGTGTACGGCACAAATGGTTTTTTCTGCGGAGGAAAAATATTGTGAGAATCTGTATCAACAGACGACCACAAGGGACAACAATGGACATTTTGTGGTACAACTGCCAACGAAAGATAATATTAGCGAATTAGGAACATCGTTTGAAACTGCTGAAGCAAGATTTTTAAATTTGGAACGAAAGTTATTCAAGAATCAAGAATTATGGAAACAATACTCTGAATTCATGAGTGAATATCAAGAATTAGGACACATGACAAGAGTAAATCGCGACGATACATATGCGTATTATTTACCTCATCACGCAGTAATTAAAGATACAAGCAGCACTACGAGGCTCAGAGTAGTATTTGACGCTTCGACAAAAACAAGTACTGGCATTTCACTGAATGATACTCTAATGGTTGGACCTACGATACAACAGGAATTATTTTCCATTCTCTGTAGGTTTAGAGAACATAATTACGTATTAACCGGTGACATTGCAAAAATGTATAGACAGGTAAACATCATACCTAGTCAGAGAAATTTACAACGTATTGTATGGCGACAAAGTCCTGAACATGATTTGGAGCATTTTCAATTAAACACGGTAACGTACGGCACCGCATCAGCATCATTTTTGGCAATTCGCAGTCTGCATCAAGTTGGCATAAATATTCAAAATAAACATCCTAACATAGCTAAAGTTATAATCGACGATTTCTGTGTTGATGACCTTATTACAGGTTCAAAGACTTTGGAAGAAGCATTGAAATTAAAAAATGACTTAAGTGAGATCTTAAATGGTTGCGGATTTGAATTGCGGAAATGGAATTCGAATTCACAAGAAATTCTGCAAGGAAGCGATGAAACAAGCGTGGATTATCTAATAGGTGACTCTAAGGATGTAAAAACTTTATGGTGCTCACAAGACGATACACTTAGGTATTCAATTAAGCCTATAGTTGAATACGGGAAATTAACGAAACGTATTATTCTGTCAATTATTGCTCAGATATTTGACCCACTTGGTATTGTATCTCCTTCTACGATCAAAGCAAAGGTAGTTTTACAGCGTTTGTGGCAGCTGGGAATCACGTGGGATGAAGCTGTACCTATCGAACTTTACACATCATTCAAGAGGCTTTATGAGGAATTGCAATATTTGGCAAAACTACAAATTGATCGACACATTTTGCTAACAGATTTTGCAATGGTAGAAATGCATGATTTCAGCGATGCTTCTGAAATGGCTTACGGAGCATGTATTTACATTAAAACCATAAACCAAACTAAAACAACGATTCGTTTATTGTGCGCCAAATCGAGAGTAGCACCTTTACGGAAAATTTCATTGCCGAGATTGGAACTCAATGGTTGTTTATTGTTGGCAGAACTAGTGAAAAAAGTACTTGATTCATTAAACACAGAAATTACTAAGGTTTATCTCTGGACTGATTCCACCATAGCGCTTGCTTGGATACATGCGGATCCTTCGAGATGGCAAACATTTGTTACAAACCGCGTATCGCAAATACAAGAACTAACAGCACATGCACAATGGAAGCACGTAACCTGTTCAGAGAACCCTGCAGATTTGGTTTCTAGAGGTATCGAGACTCCTCAATTAATAAAGTCTAACCTGTGGTGGGAGGGGCCGAAATGGTTAAAGAGTAAAACTTATCCTGATATTGACATGAACTTTCCTAAGGAGTTACCAGAAAAGAAAAAAAAATGAACTAACTTCGTTGGCGCTAAGAATTATCTCAACGAGTTGAAAAAAGTAATCGACTATAACAACGATAAACTTGAAAGATTTTGCTTGAGAAATAACATAGATTGGCAATTTATTCCGGCACGTTCTCCGCATTTTGGAGGTTTATGGGAGTCTGCTATCAAATCGGCTAAATCGCATTTTATACGAATTATTGGCTGTAACGTTTTAACCTTTGAAGAGTTAACAACAATTTTTACTCAAATCGAAGCAATACTAAATTCTAGACCACTTACTCCTTTATCCACACATCCTGATGATTTCTTGGCTCTTACCCCGGGACATTTTCTCATTGGAGAACCTCTTAATACGATTCCTCAGCGAGACGTTATGGATATCCCCTTCAACAGACTGAATCAATTCAACAAACTTCAACAAATGTATCAACATTTCTGGCGAAGATGGTCTATGGAATACATCAACATCCTACAACAAAGAAGCAAATGGTCTCAAGCTGTTGGAGAAAACGTTAAGATTGGACAGCTAATATTACTCAAGGAAGACAACACTCCACCGTTGAAATGGCGACTGGGAAGAATTCTTGAAGTTCATCCTGGCAGTGATAATATTGTGCGAGTTATTAGTGTAAAAACAACCAGTGGTGTTGTGAAGCGGGCTGTTAAAAAGGTGTGCGTTCTTCCTATAGACGTTGAAGTACCTAAAAAACTATAACATGTAATATTTAGATTTTCGTTATACTTACCTATTTTTATCTTGAAAGTTAGTACTTTCAACGGCGGCGGTATGTTGAGTTAGTAACATTAATATTTTTAAGTTTTGAGTACTGTTGGGTTGGTAGTATTGAAAACGGTGCACATTGC